AGCTGAAGAAAACAAATYAAGTTGTTTATGCTGCTGTGCTTGCCTATAATTTACCATAAACATAAAGGGAAAGGAAGCAAGGAAAGAAAGTCATTGTGGTAGTAATCTTACAATGAAGAGTAATGTGCTTATACAGGTAGTAAAAGGTGACTGTTGTCTCAGGAGAGAGGTCCTAGCATTTCTGGCACTTCCACTGTGCTATTCATACACAGTTTGCCAGTTTCACTGTATCCCTCAATGATGTTCTACTAGCAATAAGAGAGCCTATGGCTTAGTGATTTTTTTAATATTTAATTCCCTCCCGACAAGTGCTCTCCCCAGCAGTCCAGCTGCCCATAGAGCTAAATTACCACTCTTTCTCAAGGCCCCTTTCCCTCCCCAGGAGGTGAGCCTATGGTTCGTTATTTCAAATTCAGATTGCCTGTGCTTAATAAGCTGGTGCTTGCCTGCAAACTTTTCAGGGCTTTTTCTAAGGAGAATGGCTGCCTGAGCCTTCAGGCAGGGATAGAAATTTGTTATTGCCAAGAGCAGCAATTAGTCCAGCACACATCATGAATCAAATTCGAGAGGGGCATCTCTACAGTGATGAGAGGATTACAGCTTGGAACAACTCAAGTCCTTCTTTATGGGACATGCCACAAAATAAGAATGAGAACATGAACCTGTCCCTTGAAGAATTGCACAAACATCATTTTCTTGACTCTGTCTCTATACGCACACAGCCATTGAATCAGCCAAGTGAGACAAAAAAATTAGAGTCCAGAGTTTATAATGCAGCTCATTGCCACACACCCCTGCACCAAAGCAGCACAGTACTAGAAGCCTGACCCTGTACCAAGGAACAAAAGTAGCTTCATGCTTCATTCTCCTCCCTAGGGCTGCACMTAGTGAGAAGGGACCCTCCATAGTTTATTTGTCCCCTACACTTCTCTTTACCCCTTAGTCTGATCCTGTTTCTTCATGMTGTGTTCAGGGCAGTTAATCCAGCAGGGCATCAGGTCCAGCCCAGTGACTCCCTCCACAGCCTCTATACCCCTGCCTTAGGATTTCAAACTTAGCAGCTTCTTCTCAAGTTCCTCCAAAGCAAAACGACAAAACCCAGGCCCATCCGAGAGGCAGCTCTACTGCCACTTTGTCCTCCTCCCCCACTATCTCAGAGATGCCTTCCTCCTCCAAACTGAACTATAAATCAAATTACATTTACCACCACCTCATGCTTGCCTTTTTACCCACATACCCTTCCAGAGGAGAGCTCCTGGAGTTGCCTCTCGCACCTTCAAGGCTCACTCWTTTAAGGATGTGGGGTAGTGACCCCGCCCCCTCACAGGTGGGCTCCTCGTTAAAGGTGGCGCTGCTCTGCCAGCTGCGCGAAGTTACACTGATTGCTCCTGCCCCCGGCCTGTGGGCTCTGAGGGCTGAAGCAAGTGTTTGGAGCAGTTCACAGCTTCAGGACTGTTTACCTTGGTTGCAGGAGTAAGAAACTGGGTGTCACCATTTGCCTGGTAGGCTGGAGGTGCCAAGGTGCTGGGCTCCMACCTGCTCTGGGATAGCTGTGTACAGCACCAGCCCCTCAAACCAGAGCTGAGGCTGCAGGTGMTAAACTGGGATTGGTGAGGGGCACTAGACACATGAAAGCTCCCTTTTTCTGCCTTCAGGCTGATGAAAGGATGGCTCTTCACAAAGCATGAGGGAAATAACTGTTCTTCATACATGTGAAGCATACCAGTACATTTGCAGCAGCCTAACTAACCAAAATGTCTCCCATCACTTTTTCCAGGTGCTACGTTTTAATTAAAACAGACAAAAAAAAGTTTAATTATTATGAGTGCAAGGAAAATTTTCAAAATACTGTAGCATATGTATGAGTATGTCACAAACAGAAATAATAGGTCAGARTGTCATCCAAAAGTACAAAATCCTAATAAGGAGAGAAGGTTTATCCTTAGTGACTCTCCAACTGAGACTATGCTGAAGACATGAATCTGTAAATTATATATCATGGCAGCAGGCTAATTCTCTTTCTAYAGAGGGAAATCACATCACACTTTAAAATACAAATGCATAAACCTGTAGTCAGTCCAGTTTCCATTTTCTAGCACATCTAAATGCAGCTGGGCAGGTATAACATTTTTGAGACTTTTCAAGCCAAGGAGMAAATGCTTTGTTTCATATTTTAATCTCTTAAAAACAATGAAACAAAAATGCATTCCTTGAGACTGAAGGATGCAGTCTAAAAACTGCCTTCCCTCCAATCCATATGGAAAGTTCTCTTGCCTCCACTCTGCAAGGCTATATTTTTCTGCCCCATCACATAAGAACGTGAAAATAGATGTTTTCCATTGCAGTCATTTATTTTGGAATCCTAGACTCTGCCAATTGCTGAGCATGAACTCCTATAGATGAAAAAATAATGCAAAACCCATTCAGACCTAGCCAGAATGAATGATTTCCCAGAAGGCCTTTTATGCACATTAAGATTTTCAGTCTGTGATATTTTACACCTTCCTAGATCTTATGAAAAGAAAATGTACTTCTGAACACATATTTCTGAGTTACAGATGTGAGGTTGCTGGTGGAAGAACAAGGACTGCCTTATCTTTGATAGTTACTTTTAGTAAGGCCAATTATTTTTGTTCTCTACTGTTCCTTTCACAGACATTAGGAACTACACCCTCGATGTCAGTCTCAAGTCCAGACACCACATTTTCAAAAGCTTGAATGTCTTTAAAYCCAGGAGTTTTCTTAAGGACAATCTAAAAATTGAACAAAAGTGACAGCATTAAACATCACAATTCAATGTTTAAAGGTTCATTCTCAGCAGAGAACTGGAAATAAAACAGAATTTGATGAAGCTTTCCTATGTGCACAAATGCTGGGAGCCTGAAGCAAAGAGCTAGCTAGCCACGCACACACACAGGGGTTTGAACTCCCAGAACTTTCCAAATACATGAACATCCCTAGGTTCAGCCACATTGCTGCCTTCTGTCACACTCAAGTACCATCACAGGCTGGACCCTGTCTTGTCCCTTCTCTTCAGTCTGCTCAGAGAAGTCATACTGCCTCCCTTACACAGCTAAGTCCTCAACAGCAGACCTAATAGTCACTACTCTGAAGCTTTCAGTCAGCCAAACTCATGCAGCAGCTTRCAGCAGATCAAGGGCCCTTTTTGATGCTCACTGTACACAGAACATTACTGCAGCCTTCTGAATACTTTCCTTGTCCACTGTTTATCAGCTGAATCTTCATTAGMAATCCCAACTGGGACTCCAGGGTTCATGAACTATCATCTCCCATTCAACTCAGTCTTGCAAGGTGGGACCYTTACCTTCAAGCATTCTGCATCTTCAGCATGGCCTGTTTACTGTTTCTGTCAACAGGGGCTACAGAAGAACCTTGCAGGACTAGGTCCTACTTGGTAACCTTTGCAACAGGTTACCAGTGCTTTGCCACAGCATTGCAAAACTTCAGGAAAATTCCTGAAGTTTCACAACCCAGCATCCCAGCTCTTTTCAGGAGTTTTAAATTAATTCAGAAATAAACTTACCACTGCACTGTTAATGAGCCAAATAGAACAAACCCAGAGAGAATGACTGCTACAAATTGAAATTGAATCACAAAGGTAAACTATAGTTTGTCCCCMAAGTATTAGTAGCTCCTAGGGATATAGAATTTCTGTCCCCCAACTTCAATATATTTTGATATACAAATTAGTCYCTTCCAGGTGATTTGAAGAAAGTGGAAGAATGGCAGGCATGACACAGCCTTCCAAAACCACCTTAGTAGCATCATCTATCTTTGCTCATCAGAGCTATAATAGCTACCGGGAATGCTGGATAACATACCTATTAAAAGATTTAATACCCCTTAGAAGGTGGATGGCAAAGAGCTAGCATATACAAAAGACTTCCTGAACTTCTACAACATTGTGTAACTAAAAAATAAGTACTTATGACTTTACTGTGGGTGCAGCAGTACATATCTGATCCTGACACCTCCAGATGGCAGGAAGCTTTTTCCTTCCAAGATTCTAACAGCTATTTAATGGGCTGATGGTATTTTAAGGACTGTTCATCACGTAATACTGCCTTCAATATATGATGCAAAGTGACATTTGGCTGAAAGTACCTGTCTTGAAATCACAGTAGCTAGAACCAGTGACACCTCCTATTTTATAATGCTGGCATGGCTGAAGAAAACCCTCATCTTTACATACTCTTCTGACCGTGTTTGCTTTAGCTCCTAAATTACATTAATCTAATYTTTTTCCAATGAACAGGAAGATATACCTCTGACACGGTCAGGTTTTGAGTGGCAATGATGATTTACAAATGCTGTGTCAATCGAGGAACTGGTGTATCACAGACTACATCCCCTACCAAAGCATCTCTTCCAGGTGACCTGACATCAAGACAACGGCTGYGCCCAGCCCTAGCTCACTGCTTTACAAACGTGGCATGCTACACCTCACAGCTCCAAATGACTGCTCAAAGCAGCTGTAGCAAACCCAGGGCAGGTTTTTCTTCCTTCCTTTTGTCTTGCCCACAGCTCACAGAACGARTATCTCCACCTCCTGCTTCCAGCCCTGCATGGATAATGTGCTACCGCAAACTGCTTCTCCAAGATGCTGCAGGTAAACTAAACACACCTGTCTCCACCTGTTATAATGAATTCAGCATTAGAAACGCAGYATTAGCAACCAGTACAGGGGTGAAATGGCTATGTCAAGTCCCAGGACACATTACAATATTGTTATCCCTGCTTCTCAGACACTGCAGACCACGTCGGTGATCACCAGCACAGGTCTCCTCCTAGCCTTCGTTCTGCCCGAACAGACAGTCGGGTGCCCTTCCCAGGGCTGGCTTCGGCCAGCGGGGCAGCAGYCGGGGTGGGGGACAGATCGCGGGCAGCGGTACCCGCTGTCCGCCACCACCGCGAAGTTTCCCCGCGCCAGCCGATGGTCTCCGTCCCCACCCCGCGAGGCGCAGGGGTCGCACACTCACCTCTCCTGGCCTGCCTGATCTTGGGGCTCAGCATGCTCCCGGCTGGCAATGCCCGCAGCCTCAGCGCCCAGCCCCGGCCGCCGCCCCGCGCATCGCCGCCACCGCCGCTCGCCGCTCCAGCCCTGGCTCGGGGGCGACGCTTCACGCGGGGCTGAATAAACCCTAATGCATTATTTATCCGGCCTCGAATTAATTCCCATCCAAACTAGGCATTAAGTGTCTCGGTAATTAGTGCCGATAGATCACCAGCGCGCAGACACGAGGGCTGGCCCTGGCTCCTGCCGCTAATTGGCCACGCGGCCGTGTGATCAATGTGCCGCTTGCAGGGAGCAGCGCTCAGCCCCGCTCCCGAGCTGCGGCTTCCTCGGGTGGCGTGCGCTCAACAGATGCTTGGACTCGACAARGCTCTGATCAGGAGCTGAATCTGATTCAGCGAGATTTCTCCTGCGCTGGAAGAAATACCCAGTACTCTGGTCGTCAGGGCAGCGCCGTGCTGGGCTGCCTGCTGTGCTCTGCCTCCCTCCCGGGGCGGCATCCCGGTGAAACGACCCACTGCTCTCTGCGACAGAGGAAAATAKCTCTTGCTGCACCGACAGCCTGGCAGGATGGGCACAAGGGAATGTCTTCACTCCATTTTAGCACCCATCATTTTTTTGTTTGCTAAGCTCACCCTCACCCCTCTCTGAGAGGGAGGCGAAGTCTGCAATTCTGCAGTCAGTGATGAAGAGGAGGAAAGGAAAAACATTTTTTGAAATAAATAGAAACTATTAAGTAGTATCTATAAAATATAAATAGATAATTGGATGATAATTGCATCTGAGTAATGGACTTTCCTTGACCCTCGGTTGCTCTTAGTTCCATCTGCCTATCMGTTCCTTCTGTGAGAGCCAAAAAGGAGGTAAATAGTTCTTTAGCAATGTAGGTGCCCTRCAGTATCACCCTGCAGGTTTTTATTGCTGAGTTGTACTGACAAAAGGCGTCTGAGATTGGCAGTTTTCTCCTCTACCAAGATCTGTTAAATCTTTGATACTTAATGCTGGCTATGAAGATGTATCTCCAATACTGGAAGAGGTTTTCTGGCTCTTTACAGAGGTTGGACTTCTCARTGTGCCAGCTGCAGAAATAGCTAAGATATTTCAGCCCTTTAGCTGCTGGTGGAACCAGATACTTATAAGTGATTGTAAATCTTGGAGTTCATGGTGGCATGAACTCAGACTTACAGACTTGTAAGTGAGGATAGAAGTGGGATCTGAACTACTGTCTCAGTTCTGAACACACAGCCTCCTGCAGTTAGCTCCCCACTAATTATGTGGTTTAGCCGGGTTTCAGCACACTGAAGAAAAGCTAACAGGTGATCCCTTGACCAGCAAACTTAGTAAGTATCTTGATACTGTGGATAAGCAGAAAGAGCATCAGCAGAGAGGTGTTACAGTCCTGCCTTTCCGTCCAACCTGAGACCCTGGATCAAAAAGTCATTCCTACCAACCATTAAATAGAACTTCTTTTCTCTCCATATTTTTAGTGATTCTTGTCTGCTTTGTTGCTTTTTATACACGTAATTTTCCAGATTGAGCAGGAAGTCAAAAGGTGTGTACAGTAAACAGGACAAGGGATAAAGTTAACTGAACTTTYAACCTCATGGGAAGCATGGAACACTTCATTCTGCTAAGTCACTTCCCATGAAATCTTGATTTCCTCTCTGTGAAAAAAAATATATATAATGTGACCTATATAAATAATTACCATGTTTATAGGTAAAATGAAAACATTAGAGCAGATAACAGCCGAGTTCAACACTAAATGCCACCTAAGTTTTTCTTGTTAAATAAAAAWCACTCAGTATAAACAGAAATACTCAATCTGACCCTATTTAAAATGTTTTGCTTTGACTTAAACATTTTCATCTATTTTWAAAGCAATTTGCAACAGAGAAACATAATTTACATGATTCTTAAAACACTTGGAAAGTTGGGGTCTTTTGGGCTTTTTTCCCCCCAGTTTAAGTGTTGGTCTAAAGTTCAGGTCTGAAATTCTCAGACACACTCTTTGGGGAAAGTAAACTGCTTGCCAGGGGAAAAGCCAAACAAAACTAAAACAAACAAGCCTCCTAAGATGAAAAAAAAACCAAAAAAAACCCCAAGAAAACAGCAAAACAATCATCTTTAGCAAAWGGTTCCATGCTGCTGCAATGCTTTGATCTGAAAATTTAAAGAACAGTTCTTCAAAGAGCCACAAAGAGAAAGTCTAGTTAAAAGGTAGCCCAAAATGTTTCTAGAAGGAACCAGACCCTATTGGACTATTTAATTCCTAAAGTTTTTGTATTGAACTGCTTAAATTGATGAGGATAACTAGGAAAGGATACTTAATTATTTGTATTTACCTTAATTCTCCTGTGAGTTTAACAGCTCCTTTCTATCCTAGGAGCAGAGAGGTTTCTCATGTGAACACACTCTACAAAGATGAGAGAAACCYGTGCTAGGATCCTGAAGTGCATTTATAGCCTTAATGGCCCTGATACACCTCACATAGTGACCATTCATACCCTCTGCCCATAAATCCAGGATTTCTATTTAAGCCCATGATTGGGCTTCATATCCATTGTAAACTATTTAGTAGGAGTATTAGTTTCCAGTGTGRCAGGTAATGTATGAGTTTGGATTATAATCTACAGGCTATTTTTTTAGCTTGACCTGGCATCAGTGTCATTGCTGTGGGTCTATCTAGTAAGAAGAAGATGGTGTATGGTATTAGTAATCTTTATTCTACTTAATTCCTATTCTTATCTTGGGKTTTTCCCAGCTTGACCCTAGACCTCCTTCTTCATCATCATAAATGTGTTTGGTGAGYTTGATTTCTGATTGAACCTGGCAATTTCTAAATCTTTCCTCCTTGCTTCATTCAAGTACTGTGGCAAATATGCCCTCCCCTGCTGTGCTGTTCCTCTCTTTCCCTTAGGRAGGAAAGGGGTTTTGCTGGTCATTCTATTCCAGAGCTGGGCTCTAAAGGTGATCCCATTTAGCAGGCTTCTCAGAGTGACTTGGGAAGCTGCTGGCCTGTAGGCAATAGGGCTYGCCTGATCTGAGTCAAGAGGGGCATCCCTGATGGCTTGGAATACCAAAGTGATGATGTGTACCAGTTGTTACAAACCACTGATCTCATGGTTATGGCCCTCTGCTTGCTCAAATCCAGATGRTAGTCTATTGTAAAGCACTAAGCATCTAGTAGGCTAGAAAATAAAAATCAGTTGACTAACCACATACTGGAGAAGTGCTACTGTAGGACTCTTATGTGAATCAAAAATAAATGTGGTCATTAATTATCTGCTGCCTTTTTGGAATGTTGAAAAATTTTTSTGTCACAAATACTCACCACTGTTTGTTAAGCACACATAATGAAGTCAGATGRTGTGACCCAGGGATCAGAAAACTTAAGGAGAGTAGAGAGGGTCTCTTGTCTTAATGACAGCTGATTTCCCATGGCTACAAGCAAGATACTAAATCCCAGGTCACATCCATATTAATWCAGTGTTTTGAGATCTGGGATTGGCAAGTGCTATCTAACTGCAGAGGATGATAATAAGTTACTGCAGCAGGGACACTCACAGAAGATATGATTCATCTGTTGGCGCCAAGGCTGATGACTGGAGGCTATGAAACACGGCGGGTGCCTGAGACGGAAGAGTGCGTGGGCCAGTGAAGTTGATGAAGCTGTGGTGAGGCGGATTGAATGGATCTCTGTTTCCCCAGGCTGCACACACAGCATGCTGTCACCTACCAATTATCACACAGTATATCCTTTTTTCCTCCTCCTCATCTTCTGCTTCCATCTGCAGGCCAAGAACTTGTTGTAACTAGCTGACTGATAACATTTTCTTTGCTTATCACCATGATGCACCTGGATCATAGCCCAAGATCAAATCACCCTGGACTTTGACCCTATTAAACTGTAGATCTAGTTTATTTAGATTGCAACCAAACTTGTAACCTGTTTTAATATGCTATAAAATTGAGTTGATGGAAAAGGGTACAAAGAAACAAGGAAAGACCATGGTGTGCATTTGAAATCAATAACTGAAATTTGAAATCAATGTGCCAGCATTTCTTCTGCAAAGCAAGTTTGAATGGCTATGTGCACAGGAACTGTGGAATTCTGCTGAAGAAGTTTGTGCATAAATAAAAAGCTTTTTAAGTATCTAATTACCACAAGGAATTTCAGTTTGATGTAACCCTTGCTTACAGGCTAAATGATCACCACTTGAAACTTCTTGATGCTGATGATACCAGCTGGTTTTCCAGGTGAAAAAAGCCACTGATGTTTCAGCTGCCAGTAATCACTGATTTTACTAGCAGTCTTCGGTGTTGTAGCAAGAAATACTTAAACCATGAATGGAGAATTTCCCTGTTCTCCTTTGGAGAAGGCCTCTCTAGTACCCTGTAAACTGATGATGCAGAAGGGAGAAARTTGTGTAGACGTTCTAGAGCAGCTCTAGAAACAACTGGAAGTTCAAAGGAATCTTTGAGGAACAAAAGGTAATTCAGGAAAGCTTTGGTTCAGTGATTATCTAATGCCAAGAAACAAGGAATAGAAGAACTTCTTTATGTTTGGCTTAAAAGTAAGAAAACACATAAGCCTAAGTACATCTTGGGCTTCTTGGGGGTAATGCTTACGGCAGGAGGCAGTGAATATGCCAAACACATCATGACTACAGATGATCTTACAGAATTAATTCAGGAATGAGAGCGAAGGAGGAGATGAAACAAGAATAGTTTTTAATGTTTTTCAGAGTGAAACTAGGGAATTTTTGGGTATCTTTAGCATATGTTACAGTCAATGTTCCTTCCCATCTCATCATGTTCCCCCAACAGGTCAGGAGTAATTAATCTTTGATTTCAGGATATAAGAGTGACTCTCTAGAGAGCAGCTGTAGCCTGAGAGAAACCTGTAATGCAGCTGCCTTGGATTTTGGTGGGACACAAAACTACTCAGCAGAGATTCTTCTGGCAGACTTTAACTTTTTTCTCCTCTGCAGTGGTGA